TTTTTTTTTGGTAACTTGAGGCAACCCATCAAACTTCACAAATCTCTGTTTTGTGTTTGCACACATTAAAAAAGTACTGTACTGTGTACTGTGGGTTCAGCATTACTGCTTGGTCCCTAGTTAGAGGCTTCTGTGGTATCTTTCTATGCAGAAACCAGAGGTGGAAAATTGTAAGCCCCCAGTGGCTTACAGTAAATGCCACCGACTTATTCCACATGTGGGGTCCACAAAAGCTACAGTATCCGGCCTCCCACCGGGAAAATCTCACAGAGGAGAATGGAGGGGAGAAAGCTGAAATAGATCTCCGGATTAGTGAACCCTGCTAATGACTGTTTGGGAACAATGACATAAACGATCTCTGGGAAATATGTGTGTGTGAAAGAGTGACATTAAGACAATGAAGCGTAGTTTTCCCACCCTTTGGGATTTGAGTGCACGTCTATATGTACACAGAGGGAGCGCAGCAGATGTGCAAAATCAGGGCAAATTACTTTTTTGTGCGCTACAGTATGGACGTGTAGAGGGAGGTGGTTTTTTCAAGTTGAAATGGGTGTGTCTATGTCAGTTTTGGGATTGGTGTATTGAAGCAATCTGACAGCAGCGAGTTTGTGATGTAATCAGTTCCTTCAGGCATATAATGCATGTCGTCTAGGACCCCAATGCAGCCCTACTACCGGCACCGCTTGTCTGCCCGAGGTCACTGCACTGTGAAATCTTCTTTTCACCCTTTTAATCAATCAAACCTGATTATTAGGTCACTATTTATAATTACTACTGAATTACAGACAGTAATATGGCAATACATTCCCACTGTGGATAAAAGTACAGAGTCATCTAAACATCACACCTACAGAAAATCCAGAAATGAAGCATGTGGGCTAATGTTAACGCCAGAGGAGGTTTGAGACTCTGCAGTGTAAATGATGAATCCTCAGCATTTGGCAACCCTGCTCTGTCCCTAAATGCTTCCACTTTGGAACCACACCGGTTGTAGTCAACAACAAATTATTTAGGAGAGTAGGAATCTCACAAGCTCCCTTGTTGCCACAGTGCCATCTTATTACAGTACCAAGCTTGAATTGAAACAAATGTTAATTGAAGCAGACTGAATGGAAAGGTGCTCGATTTTACAGATCTACGGCAATGAGACTGAAAATACAAAAATCTGGACGAAAAGGATCGGAAAAATTTGAAGTTTTCAACTGTGCGGTTCATGTTTCGTCTCCTGTTACTGCAGGTGTGCCGTGAACGTAGCAGCTTATGCGTAGGTAAGGGAATCGTATGTCTCTGCTGCGTTTCTTTTTCCCGCCACTGATGTGAAGATGTTGTTTAAATGTTAAACGGTAAAAGCATTTTTAAAGCTTTGGGCAAATTTTTTTTCTTCTAAGCCTAACTACAGAGATGAACAGCTAGCTCAATTAATCATCATTAATAATTAATTTAATTGTTAATCAAGTAAACATATACAATATTTTCATTCAACAAATGCTATCTGCTGATAAAACTCTCGTCATATAGAACACACCACAGTTTCCTTCAGCAACAGGTACTTCTGAGGTCTTTCTGACACAACAGCTAAACAAAATGCAAAACAATCCTAGTGCTGTGCTGTGAATGAAGAGTTCAAAGCAAATATCTGACAGCAGAGTGAGCAACTACAGATTTGTGGATTCGGACCAACCATTTTTCCAAAACTAGCCTGAAGCAACAAAGGAGTCAAATACACATGTATTCCCCTGAATCACTGAGTACCTGCAGGATGAGAAGGAAGTAGTCGGCCGGCTTGCCCCTTTGGTAGATGTAGTGATGGGACGACCGCTTATCGTTCTCATTGAACTTGATCTCCTGGATCACATCGGGGTGACGCAGGATTCGCAGCAGCACCTTGTCTGAAATCTGAGATGGGCTGAACAAGCTCACCTCTGCCGAAAGAGAAAAAGCAGAACAACAGATATTTTACACCATTTATTAGTGAAGACTAAAAGACACATTTTTTTTATTTTAATGTAAGTACTCTTAAGTATATAGTCTGACCAAAACTGACCAAGGCATTTCTTAAAATAGTAAACATGAAATTAAACAGTGTTGGTTTAATTTCATCCACACGTTAGGCCAACCTATAATTTACAGTCCAGCAAGGACATAATGAAAACACAGGTTACTCAAGCTGAGTTTAAGGTGTATCATATGTTACGTTGTCAGTAGGTAGGCCACCAACTATTCAATTAAAGGATCCAGATGTACTTAAATGAAAATCAACAATTCTGAAACTGCAGACAAACAAACACAATATAACACTATTGTGTTACCCATGTGTGGCTCTTAACGCCTGGTGACAGCTGTAAGGTTTAAAGATTATTCAGGTAAGGACGAATTGATAATTACATTTTGTTCATGATCCAACAATCTAATAAGATTTGTTTTTGCGACACATTTTTGTCAAAGGATTGTTTTTAAAATAATGTTAGCTTTTGAATAGTTGAATTACCGTAATTGTCGGGCTATAAG